CTGACAAGGATCACAATGGGGAATCTCATTTAGTTCACGATGAAGTGCCACTGCCTCAACCATAGATCATTCAAGGTTAATCAGAATATTAGAAACCACACACTCTTTATTAGTGTTACATAACAAAGAAGCATGCTGCCTTTGATGGTATAATAAAAGAAAGATCCGGAACCCCCCAGGAGTCTTCAGCTTTGCAGCACAGCAAGGTTTCATATAACAATGAAAGTATATTTGCTTAACTAATTGAAGGAAAACAAGCATTGTATTAGATCATCTCTACAAAAGGCTGTCTTAACAGAACAGTTTATGCAACGAAGCACTTTAAAAACAACTACTGTTCCCAGCTTGGAGGGTGTTCCCTTAAATCTTACATAATCTTGATTTGCTTCATTAATTGCTTATGTATACCATTTGTGAAAAAGTAATTTTGGATATAAATGAATGCAAGTCCTAAATTGTTTCAACGCACTGTAATGTACAAACTGCAATTGCTACCGTGAAACATTGCTTTGAGTGAAATTCTTCTATGGGAAAAATTTCCACTGTAAAATAGTCTCACTGCATGCATTATATATAGAATTATAAAAATTTAAGGCTGGAAGGGCCCTCAAAAGATAATCTCGTCGATCCCACTGTCCAGAGCCAGGACCATCTCTGACAGGTGTTTGTCTAACCCAGTGGTTGGCAACCTGTGGCCCGTGGGCCGCATGCGGCCCATCAGGGTAATCCATTGGCGGGCCGTGAGACAGTTTGTTTACATTGACCATCTGCAGGCACAGCCACCCGCAGCTCCCGGTGGCCGCAGTTCGCAGTTTCCAGCCAATGGCAACCCGTGCCGCTTCCTGCAGCTTCCATTGGCTGAGAACAGCAAACCACGGCACTGGGAGCTGTGGGCGGCCGTGCCTGCAGACGGTCAATGTAAACAAACTGTCTCACGGCCCGCCAGTGGATTACCCTGATGGGTCGCGTGGGGGCCGCAGGTTGCCCACCACTGGTCTAACCTGTTCTTGAAAACCTCCAATGATGGGGATTCCACAACATCCCTTGGCTACCTATTCCAGTTCTTAACTATCCATATAGTCAACGTTTTTCCTAATAACTAATCTAAATCTCCCTTGCTGTACATTAAGCCAATTACTTCTTCTCCCACCATCAGTGGATGTGAGGAACAATTTATCACTCTCTTTAAAAGACCTTCACATATTTGAAGATCAGTTTCTTCCCCACTCCCCTCACCCCACCCCACCCCCAGGTCTTCTTTTCTCAAGATTAAACATGCCTAGTTGGTTTTTTTTTTAAAGTTTCCTCAGAGGTCATGTTACCTAAACTTTTTTCCTTTGAGTTGTTCTCTGGACACTCTGCGTGTCCACATCTTTCTCAAGCTGTCGACCATACTGCTGCTACACCACCTCCATCTGTAATGTTGTTGGTTCCTTCAGCTAAACATCTTATTTATATAATAATTTATGAGTAGTTCAATTATACTTATTGTATGATATTCAGTGGTATGCACAACACAGCGTGTCATTAAATCTATTTGTGTTCAAATATATTCAACTGAACTCACTGCTTGAACTTCCCAAGCCACCAGCAAGAACCTTAACTGTGAAGTGGTTCAAGTGAAAATGATCAATAAGATTAGCACCATAGGGATTTGTCACCAAGAACTGAAAAAACGTTTTTATTACATTGTAGGGTTTCTTTCCTTTTGTTTCATTTATTTCTTTTTAAACACAAGGTTAAAATGTTTTTATTTGAAACAGTCTATTTAATATTTTGTAGCATCAGTATAAACTATTTTCTACACCAAAACAACTTGTCATTGTGATGGTAATGTGATTTCTTGGGTTAAACAGCCAAGTACATAATTACATAGAATCACAGAATCGTAGGACTGGAAGGGACCTCGAGAAGTCTCCTAGTCCAATCCCCTACACTCAAGGCAGGAATAAGTATTATCTAGACCATCCCTGACAGGTGATTTTCTAACCTGCTCTTAACCTCCAATGATGGAGATTCCACAACCTCCCTAGGCAATTTATTCCAGTGCTTAACCACCCTGACAGTTAGGAAGTTTTTCCTAATGTCCAACCTTGCTGCAAGTTAAGCCCCTGGCTTCCTGTCCTATCCTCAAAGGTTAACTAGTACAATTTTTCTCCCCTCATTGAGTTACAAGCCTACCCTATATGAATGCCATGAGCACATATCTAATTATACAGGGCATCAATGAACTCCTGTACAGAATATTTGTCTCTTACCTAACACTTTACAGTGAAAGGACTTTACAAACATTAACTTATCTGTGCTAGTTAAGAAATAGACAAGGAAGAAAAATCAAAGAAATTAGCAGCATATCTGGGATTATTAGAACTCGGGGAATCCTGGGCCCCAGACCGCACTGTTGCCCGTATGCTACCACACCACTTACGTTTGCGATTTTGTCAGCTCTCTGTGTGCTGTTGCAAGTGCCATCCTTCCGATGAGATATAAAATTTAATACCTGACAACTTGGTTTTTTTTATGGCATTTTCCACAAAAGAGCAGAGATGTGAACGTCAGTGTCCTAGCCAAAACCTAATTTAGGTAATTATGTTATGTGCACCTAAAATATTCTCACAGTAGTTTTAAATGGAGAGATTATTCACTTCCCCACCCAAAAAGGAGATATATAACAGTACAGTCATCTTTGTTATTGGCACAGAATGGCTGCAACATTCCACCTCACTGCTGGCTGCATGATTTTAACACGTCTGTAAAGCGCTCTGCGGTCCTTCAAATTGAAAGGCACTATATAAACGCAGATTAATTGTAACAGGTATCATCAGAAGAGACTGTGCTGGATCATGGTGCTTTCCCCCGGGTTCTTGATGACACCTTTTAGCAAGGAGCTTAAGTCTTACCAATTATAGGAATGGCAAAAATAATGAACAACTTTTTCTGTTTATGTTAAGTAGGCTCCTTGGCAAGAACAGAAAATAGTATACAACAACTATGAGACATTACATCACCGCTTCTCACAGCTTGCCATAATTCCAAATAAGAGGCAAGTGTACCTACTGTGTTGGAAATAAGATCATCATAAAATAATACCTAAATATTAGAAATGAAAATAAGATATGCTCTCAATGATGCTATCACCTTTGGACTAATCATGGTATTTGCACTGTAGTGAGCCTGAGCATACAGTGATAACAGTGGCTTCCCACAGCTTTCACATTTAATTCAACTGGAAGCTGACGGACATTTACTGCTTGCTTTGTTTAGAGCATGAAACATAACCAGAGTCAATTGAGGCTAACTTAGTGCCACCATGAGTATTTCTACACACTGTTCACTATTGTGAAAATGTAATTTCATGATGTCTTACACTGGTCACAAAGTAACTTAGTGCCTCATCTGAATCATGAATAGAGAGAAGTATTTAATGCTACAGCTGCAGTTTGCATTATACATTTTCAGCTAATACTCCTCAAATGAAATCTAACATGGTGCAAGAGGGTACACAAATCTCTCAGCATTAAGCAGCAAGTGGGCTTTTTATTTATACCTAAAGTTCATATTTTATGAAACAAGACTATATCCTACTAGGCTTCCTAAGAGGTGAAAGCACCATATACAGTACAGACCCGTTTACACGCGAATCCGCTTAACGCGCGGTAGCGCCATGCCTCCCAGTGCTACCTATTTAACATGAGAGACTTGTTAACACGCAGTACAGGAACTTGCTATGTAGTGCTACAGATTTGCTCACCAACTCACTGACATAGAAAATCGACAGGAAGTGCGGAGTGGAAACGTGTTGTACGTCTTTACTGCCGACGGGGGGGGGGGGGGGGGGGGGGGGGGGG